AAATAAACACTCTCTCAACAACCTCAAACAATTTGAGCTAGAATCTTAGACTATATCAGTAAACATACTCCCATCTACATCTCAACTTTTTTTGGCAAATATAACTACTTGAACAAATAAATCAACACCTCATTTTTACTCCAACTTTACTACATAATAATTTACATGCACCTCACAAAAGCAATGAGCGTGTAGCCCAAATTCTCAGAATTCCAGTTAAAGCATTTAAAATTGGGGTCACTCAACCCAATTTCACCTGTAGCTTACCAGAAATGATATTTCAATCAACTCAAAAAAACTAAATCACCAGTCTAGCAAAAATAAAATAAAAAATCATCTTTCTGCATTTACAAATATTTATTAACTAAATTATAAATCCCGAAAAAAAAAATGAGAATATTTCTAAAATTGAAAGAAACATACTAATCCCAGCACTTCCACATTACACTGCACTTTGCTCTTCCTAGTTGACGAACCACTACCCAGTGTTGCCTAAATATCAACCACACAACCAATCAAACTTTCATGGTCAAGGGAAAAACACACCATAGACAAAACTGGAAAATAACAGTTTAAGAACTTTATAATATTGTAAAAAACATGATACTTCAAAATGTAACCTCTAAAACCAAATTGTGTGTGCGTGTGTAGTAATTTATTGACAAATGGGTAACTTTAAGCTCTCAAATTTACATAAATTAAACAAAGCTTTTCAAAAAACTGAAAAAATGCCATGAAAACGTAAGAAAAATTACAAAAAGTATTAGAAAGTAAAGTTTAATATTTGAAACCAAACCTGAGATATATGAAGTCTTCCCCTTTCATTGTATCGGTGGATATATGGTTTGGCTGGTTGTACTTCAATTCCCGATCACAAAATCAATTATAACAGAGAAATAAAAAAAAATTAATTATATAGTTGCAAAGAAATATTGGTTTCCTTGGTAATAATTATGTTTGTTAAGTTAGCTTACCCCCAAAAAGCCATTGATGAGGTGGAATTGCAACGTACATCTCCAAGACCTAGACGAGACTCAGGAGAGTGAAATGCTACATTTGACCAGAATGGTTGATGGGGATGAATTCTCAGACTTCATAGCCAAAGAACTTCCAATCAAATCTCAAACACGTCATTTAAGTTTCGCACCTCAATAATCAATTTTTCCGCAACAAATCAAAGAATTTTCAACCAAAAAATCCCAAGACTTCCCTCAACGTATTTTAATAAATTTCCCCCAGAATGTGTGTAAATCTCCCTTTTTTCCTCAGCCCGGGTAAAAACATGGAGGAAGGAGGACGAAATCACGGACGTCCGCGCGCGCAGAGATCTTCTTCGCGCTGCACGGAGATCCTCTCCTCGTTGCACGGAGCCGTGACCACGGAACTGCTCGTGTAAATCTCCCCTTTTTTATTATTTATTTATTTTATTTATATATATCGCCTAAAAAAATGTTTTTATTATTATTATTAAATTTTTTTGCTCGTTTTTATTTTCCGCCAGGTTTTCATTTGTT